GTTAGAAAAAATTAACAATTTTAATCATATTTTAAGGAGTTTATAAGTTTGTTATTTAATACAATAATATGATTTGGGGTTTGGGTCGGAATTTGGATTGGAATTTTGGATTGAAAAAATCTGATTAGTTCGGATAGATCGGAATCACATGACCCGTAACTTTTTTTTCGCCATGGCTAGGGTACTTGTCTCTTCCGTATATGCTCTATATAAGATCAAATGAACTTTATCTGACAATTGACTCGGTAAATCAACCAATTTAGCATGCCAGTCCAAATATTCGGGAGTTAAGGTTTTATCCATATTATTGTTTTATACAATCGCAAATTCAATTTAAGTATGAGTTTTGACTTATTCTTTGGCCGTAAACGCAATTAAAAAAATAAATATTATTATTTAATTTACGATCATTTGAAACAGAAGAATTTGTATAACTTTATGATTTATTCTGTTATTTCGATTTCACGCTTTCCACATATAATAAAATAGGATCCAGCTTCATATCTACCTTTTACACTTTTCCCATCTTCATGATTTAATTTACATACTGGGCATAACGATCCCTCAATAATATCGTAGTAATCAAATTTTTCAGTAATAAATGTTTTATATAGATCAGAATATTGCAACAATGTCTTATTACGAAAGTATGCATTGGATTAGATGATACACTTGCCTTGATTGATTCCTCTGAACTCATTTCATTATCGTCTTTATCAACGTTATCATCATCGGAAGATTCCTTATTATCATCTTCATTCTCACCATCGTCATCATCATCAGAGGGTTCCTTATTATCGTCATCATTCTCATTATCGTTTTCATTTTCTGGAGATAAATCGGATGATATACTTACCTTAATGCTTGATGAATCGTTTAAACTAGATTGTTCAGTAGGTATACTTACCTCAATGTTTGATATGTCATTTGAGCAAGATGGTTTGGTCGTTTGCGCGTGAAGAATCTTCACGCCGATCACTTTTTGACATTCAGTTTGCTCATTAACTAATTCTACATTTGGGTTTTTCAGAGAAAAGCTTTATTATATTTTGTATTTGAGCACCAGTTAAACTAGAAATAGCATCGGCACTATATGTAACTTGCTTGATTTTATCTATTCCTATTTCTTTGAACAATGTATAAATATTTCTAGCCTTTTGAGTTTTCTTACGCAAATACTCTCTCTTAATTCCTGGAAGAAATGGTTCCATTTCATTATAGATCTGTGTTCTCGCCATTTGATCGTTAAGTTCGTTTTTAAAGCTAATGTCTCTTACCTTTTTTTCGAATTCTTCACTATAACAATACCAACGTAAAATTTCTTTCTGGCCAGTTTTTTTAGCCTTGTCGAATAAATGGGCCAAATGTGATGCAGAACCTGAAGTTGAATCATCTCCATCTAGCATGTTTCCAAGAATTTGTCTATCAGGTATGGAATTCAAAAGGCTTTTCTCGTTAATAAATGTAGATAACTCACATATTAAACCTTGTTCAACCTTTTGATTATAGGAAATTTTTATTTCGGAAGAAATAGCACTTTGTTTCTGATTGGATGAAGAGATAATAGACGATTTAGATTCTGAAGAAGAAAGCTTTGTATCTTGAATATTTAGATCTTTATTAAGTAATGACTTCTCTGCTTCGGATATGGGAACATTCTTATTCGGTGATATGGAAATCTTAGGGATAGTATTCTCGGGAGTTGAGAGTAACTCTTGATCCCGAGACTTCTTGATATTTTCGATTATCTCTTTTCTAACTGTTTCTCTATGCTTTGAATCCAGGAATTCATTTTTTTCCTTCTCTTTCAATGATATGGTTTCTGCAGGAGATGTGGGGGTTACCGATGAAGCAAAACTTCGAGTCTCCGACTCTTCCTGGTATATCCAAATTAGATGTGTTAGACTCCACATTATGTGAGATTATCTGTTCATGAGTATCGTTAGAATTTAAAGTTTTATCGGTTATATCAGACGATGGATCATCAGAATTTAAAGTTTCAGTAGAGACATCGTTAGAATTTCTTATTTCAGTGGAGATGTCATTAACTGAAGATTGATTGGTATCTTTGTATGATTTAGATATGCTCGTTTCTTCAGATACGATAGTATCCTCACTCCGTGAGTCATTTTGCGATTTCTTCCGTTCCAATTTCGAAACTCTGGATCTAAGCTTGTTGAGCTCGGCATCTCTTAATTTCGCATTCTCTGCACTTTCTTTTGTGGATCGTTCTAATTCTACGATTCTAGCCATAAGCAAATCTTTCTCTCTTCTAAGTTCGGGAATCTTGGAATTCTCCTTTCTAAGCTCGGCAATCTCGGCTATAAGCTTGGAATTCAATTCTCTCAACGAGGAGACAGAGTCTCGAGTTTCTAACTCGTCAACTTTGGATTGTTTGTTTGCCATTTTTTATATAAAATACGGATATATTCAATTAGACATAATCGTGCGCGTGAAGATTCTTCACGCCGATGCCAAGAAAAATTCTCGATCATATATACATGTCATCATTATCAATATGTATTGTACATCAGAAAAAATTTTATTAATATGTAAAAATAAATACATGTGAAGCGGAAAACTATCTATCCATTATTTTTTGGTAATTTTTTCTCGTACGCGACGCCTCTTGCTTTCAGGTTCATCACATGCGGTTACTCTATCCTTCAATAACCCTACAACTATACTGATTACCTGTTTTATATCTTCCCTCAGATTTTCTCGATTACCTTTAAGCGCCTTTTTCGTAAGATTTATTTGATATTCACTATTGCTTGTACAAAAAATTCCTTCGGAAGTGAACATGATAAAATGCCAAGAAAAAAATGCCACATACCCGGGTTGAATTGTTTGATGCTAGTTATATCCTCACCATTGACCTTATATTTGCGGAGTACGTCCTTTAGTTCTTCTAGAGTTTTATAGGAGGAGAAGCCTCTTAATTTTTGCTCTGATATCTCTTCGATGAAATCAACGAGAATAGTTACCGGTCCACCCTTCAAGCCATAGCTGCAGAATTGTTCATAGCTTATTTTTCCATAATATGCGTAACTTTTCGTCTATTTACGATGATCTGAAAATGGGAATTGAGAGGGATTCACAAGGATCAATTGTTCCTACAATCCCACAACAGGATCTCAACGACGCACGAAATCTGAATAACCGAATCACACTCTCCCAATCGAAAAAAAGTCAAACCGAGATACCAGAAAGATCTTGTGATAAGAGGCGAGGGAATATTGGTAAGTAATTATTTAACGTGGGCTAGTACGTTTGTGTTAATCTTTTCATTGTGTTACATACATTGTTAAAATCGCTAATTATGATCGCTACTTCTTTACAGATTTATCGCGTGCCAGACGTGGGTTGAAAGCAGAGGATCCACTACCTGATGGGGTATAATTCGATACTTATATAGCGAAAATAATTATGTAGATTTAGCGGTTTTAAAATGTAAATATCAGATGATCACTGGTTAAATAAAGATTTTGCGTAAATATATCAATAAATATGAAATCACGGCCCATCAAGGGTTTTTATTGGCGTGTTCTACGAACTTCTAGTATGATGATACTTTCTGAGAAGCTTGCCGGAATCACGTTTCCTGTTAACTATTTTGGTTCACATCTAAATAGTCAGAGAAATATAATTAACAATAATCTGGCATATAAAAATTTTCAGTATGCAGGGGAAAGATTATGCAATATATGAAAGAGAAATTTAATTCATGGAAAAGAAGTAATTTGTGAATATGTTGATAAACATATCAATTTATTTGAAGAAAATGATTTTGAGTCTATCTGGAGTTGAATTGAAAGACATGTGCAATTGTCTTGATATATCTTGAATCTTTAAAAATGTAATGACCAAACTTGTTATCAAGTATCCAGAGTACTTGATACAATAACTCTATTAGAAGAAAATAATGGATTTCTTTCTTCCATTATTAAAGGAAAAGATAATCATTATCTAAATTCAATACACATACTCAAGTATGCAGACCGAATAAAAATTCTGCCATATGATAAATATTATCCTTTTATTATTGGTAAGCTCTATACTCATTTGTGTTATATAATATATGATAAATATTTTCCTACTCTTAATTTTGTGACAAAGCATTGAAAAAATGAGCACAAGAGCAAAAGAGAATGATCATGAAAAATAAAACTATCTCAGCAACTAGAAGAAATTTCTTGTAGTAGGTCTAGTAACTTGATTATTCTAAATATTTTATCATATATATAAGTATTACTTTGAAAAGAGTATGAGATGGATTTTTAAGCAACCTAATCTGAAGAAAAATCTTAGATTTCAAAAAAGTAATTAATGTAAATGTAGGAATATAGACATGAGAAAAATAATAATTTGATGGATAATTTTTTTTGACTTGATGTATAATAAATTACTAAATATAACAGGCAGCTTGTCTTCTCTCCTCTCCTAAAAAATTATGTAATAAATGACACTCCCCTAAATAGAGAAATTTTTATTTAAACTCAATATATATTATAATTAAAACAAAAATATCATATTTTACAAAAAAGAATTACATTTTAATGAAAATATATATTAATATTAACTTGTTGTATTAAGTTAATTTTTTTATTTCTAAAAAATTTCTCAATTTTTTTTACTAACTTTACATATTCTTTCATGTTATCTTGTTGAAATAGAAATATATGAATAATTTCTAAACTAGTAATTATAATACTAGAACTAATAATAAAACTTGTTATTATTTATTTCTTTTAAATTCATGATTTTCTTATTAATATTCTTAAAAAGATATATAAGTTCTTTTAATTACTTGATCATCTTTGAGAATTTTATAAATTATATTTTTTTGAATATATTAAGAAATTCTTTTACTTGTATTAAATTAAAGAGATTAAGAACTTGAAATATATCTGTAAATTTATATAATCTTCAAGTTACTTATTATAAAATATCAGAAAAATTTATACAGAAAATTCAAGATATAGCAAAATAATTAAAATAAGTTATTTTGAGTTTATATAAACTCAAATAACTTAGATTAGATTATAATGTCTCAGATATATGTTATGATGACAGAAATATAACATTATTATCAGTATCATAATGACAGAAATATGACACTATCATCAGTATCATGATATATATTTTATGATATATTTTTGATGACAGGAATATGACATTATTATCAGTATTGTGATATATATTTTATGACATATTTTTGATAACAGGAATATGATATCATCATCAGTATTATAATATATATTTTATGATATATAAATAGATATATGACTTATATATTCTTTTAGAAAGTCAAATTGATATTAATAATATTTAATATTTTTGATTAATTTCTATTGCAATATAATATCTTATTTAGATTATAATATCCTAGCCTAGTTCTTTTGTATTTTTTATTATAATCCAAATTTGATAATATTATTTATATATCAGTTTGATAATTATAACTAATTTCTAATATTAGATCATATTGGTAAAAAAATATACTAATTATCTATTTAATTATATATCATCATTTACTGATCTAATATTATCTATCTATTACTATCAAGTATACTATCAAATATATATACATAATTACTATTGATATATACATCATAAATATTATCAGGAAATACTATCAAATATATATTATATAATTATTATTAATTAATATTATTTAATTATTATCACATATACTATATACATGCTATCTGGTTATGCTATCAATTAATGTTATCAAATATATATGCTAAATGCAAAGTATTTTACTTCATAGAGTATATTTTATAAATACTATCAATAATAATATAAGTTATGAAAAAAATGAATTAGCTTTGACTATATATATGAAAAGGCAAATGTATGTTATTAATTAATACTATATAATTTAGCTATCAAATTATATTATCATGTAAATGTTATCTGTCTATGTTATATATAAGAAGATGAATGTATAACTCTTATTTTTATTATAGAAAATCTGAAGTTATCTCTCTAACACATATCCAAAATATATTATTAAAAAATAAAGTATTCTTTCATATTTATTATATAATATTATTAAAGATTACTTCATCTTGATCTATCTAAAAATATATTATTGATCATATATCCAAAAATATACTATTAAGTATATACTATATCAGATAAAATATTCTTCCATTTTATATATAATATATTTCTGAAGATTACTTCATTTTACCTACCCTGAAAACATATCTAATCATACCAATTGAGATAAGATATTCTTTCATATTATATATATAATATTACTGAAGATTACATCACTCAAACATATATCAAAGACATACCTAAAATACATATGCTAAGATAATGTGTTCTTCCATTTCTTTATATAATAAAGTTTCTAAAGATTACATCATAAAGTTTTCTTTATCTCTATCACATTTATTTATATTCTTGCTAAGAATATTCAATACATATTTTTTATTATCACTTATCATCAACTAAAAAAAATAATTTAAACTTTTGAAAATATATTGGGATAATATAACTTTGTTAACTGATAGATTTATAACATAAAAAAATCAAATATCAAAAATAAGTAAATAAAATGCACAAGTGATCCAGTACAAAGATAGAAAAACTGATAATTATTTAAGTAATTCAGATATCTATAGTGACAATATATCTGAAAGTGGATCAGAAAATTGTAGTGACTATAGTTCTGACTATAAGTCAGATATTGAGACTACTATTAAGTTTTCAATATCCTAATCTCCTAAAATAGAAGAATAAGTATCTAATATGACATCATTTACAGAGCAAGCGAGTCTCACATATCCTAAATGACAAGAAAGATTTAATAATAAATTTACTAAAAAAGATGTGATGAATAAAATCTATAAAATTATTTCTTTACCTGTCAGAAATATGTCAAATAATAAAGGAT